ATTTCTATACCATAACGGATTGATTAATGTGCTTGTTTTTAAGCAGATAATAAATATCACTGGCTGAATAATACAAGATAGTGAGACAAAGTTCTTGTGGCGTGGAATTTTCGCGCAGGCTCAGGGAACTTGCGCCACATTATCTCGGATCGAGTGTTTTCAGTTTTCAATAACACATACATATTGAAACAACTAATGGTTTAAAGCTTTAAATAGTAACATTATATGCACGTTTATAATAATACTTAAGAAAAAGATATAAATTACGTGTAACAAGTTGCGCAATATACATGTTCACATCGATACATTTTGCACACTGTAAAAAAATATCTTACAGTTATCCCCAGATAGACTTTACATAAAACTGTTACGAAATTGCCATAGAGTCAGTTTCATACCCGAGACTGCAGAAGCTTTTAGGGAAGAAGACTATCGCCATCCACCATTTTCAATTTTATCATTACCTCACAAGCTGACGTAGATGAAAAGTTTCATCCAATTAGACAAACTTGCATAGGACATATAGCTAAAAAAAACTAACACTGCAAGTCAGTGTCACATATTTGACGTTATACAAATTTATATAAAGGAAAAGAAATGCAAGACAGAGTTCTAATCTAACGAAACGTCAACTAAAAATGTAAACTAAAGAGCGTACTCAAATCATTTATTATCGCCGGTAGTACAGTAATGTCTCAGTATATCAGATAACATGGAGTTGAATTAAATGTCATTGCCATTAACCTTGTAACCTTTACATTATTGTGAATTAAAACCAAAAATATCCTAAAAGTTCTATAAGTCCAAAAATATAAATTATTCTGAATGAATTCCAATCTTTAGTATGCTGATGTATCAATAGCCTTGACTGTGCCGATATAATAATAGTCATGATCCATCACAGTGATATAATCCAGAATATGCTTGAATGCATCCTCAATAGTCCCAAAATAGAGTTTTATTTGAATAAATAATTCCCCTCCAATTATAACTGAACACAACTAAAAATTACCCTACCACAGACTGATCCTAATATTGGAATAAATAATTATGTTGATCACAACTTTACATAAAAAAAACATAAAACACAATACGATGACCAGGATGCGAGACAATCATTTGCTTCTAGAACCTGCTAAGGTCAAAAGGCAATGTAAACATGTTTACACATATTTTTAAAGCGTGTGTGTGTTGGATTTTTAACGTAGCTTTAACTATTTTTCAGTCATATGGCTACGATATCTTCATTGTGGCAGTTTAAAGTGATGTCTATCACTAAGGCATCATGCCGCAGACATATGGCATGATGTTCCACCCATTCACATTATCCTGACTCCAGGCCGACCAGTCCTCACAATCGCCTCTTAATTCTGAGCGCCTAGCGAGGAAGCTGTTACTAGCATTTTTATGTCTGTAGTTTGACTTGGCTAAGGTACAAACCCGTGATCTCCCGCATCTGAGGCGGACGTTCTAACCAGAACGGTTTTTAAAGTATAACCAACAGAGCAAAAATTAAATATGCAATATATTGTTTGTGAGTAGCTTTTACAATCTATAATCTGGGAAAAACGTTAATCACACGATACCGATATCAATAACATTATATCAGAACACAATTAGGAAAGGAAATCTGTCGATCTCAAATACTTGAGCCATTCATGAAACAATTATCTCCAATATTTAAAGGTAAATATAGTGTAAACATAACTTGTAATTCTTCTCCTTGTAAACATCAGAATTGTACTTGCTAACCAGCCGTTCATAGATTTGCTTGTTTTTTCCATCATGATTATTAACATAATGTTATGAGTTTTCATTTTTTTTATTTACATAAATGAAACATAAATTCTATTATAAGATCAGACTATATAATAAAGAATAGCATTAATCGAAATTATTATTCAAAGCCACACAATATACCTAACCTGAATAACACCAGGAATGCATTCGAACTCATTTAATGACGAAATAGAATAGATATGTTGTCTTTGCTCGTAGAACCGCTAACTCTATACACAAGTTTGGATGCCGGTACAGACATTAATACAGTTTTTCTCTGTCAATTGTTTTTATTTATTTCGCATTAAAAACAAACATTAGGAACATATATCCAACTTGAGGTACCCTTTTGGTATTTTTAATGAATCGTTTTATGTTTAATGACTCTTCAGCATATTTAGTTATGAGCCTCTTTACTGGATTAAAGAAAAGTAACTCTACTTACGCAAATCATAACTACAATGCACCAAAACAGTAGTCTAACATGGGTTAAAAGGTATCTCTGGAACTAGCTGCATTTAAATTAAATTACCGATTTCTTTGTGAAAGTGACTTTTGAGAATGATATTGAATCACATCTTTTGGTCTTTAAAAAACGCCATATGCTTGGATTTGTTATGACATAAATTTTAAGTAAAAATGAAAACATTGGAATTTCCTTTAAATTATATTAAAACTAAATTTTCGTTTGGTTGACCTTTCTTTAAATTATATTGGGTAGTAATTTTTATTAACACATATGCATGTTAACTTTTGTATTAGAGCTATATTCTATTTTGATAAAGATTGATTCTATACAACAAGTACAAAATCCCATTCTTGTATGTGTAAACTAACTTAACAAAAATCTTTACAAACAGCTACAAATCTGCTTTGTACTATGAATGTACATGCTGATTCTAGAACAACTACAAGCTTCCCTGTATTATACATATAGAAGCCGAAATCATCAAACTAACACTTAGTGACAAAAAAATCTTATCCAGCTATCTAACTTAAAAGCAAAGGTTTTGGCGATAAAAGCTGATGAGGTAGAATGTGACGCAAAAGAACATATACGATTCCATTGGGACAAACCGGATCTTTCTGGTTTGGATCACGTAGTACATGCAAGGCGCTATCAGGACATACCTTGTCCACGTCCTTAGCAAAAAAGGTTAAGAGGTGTATTGAACTATTATAATTAAGCGCCCAAAGCCGCTGACACCTTCAGCCTGTTTGATCCAAGCAAGAAAAGATTCTTATAGTATTTCTTACAGGTAAGACTCGTTTATGTTCGAAAATTTCTTAAGGAATGAGCACTTTTAAAGTTAGAGATTTATGTTATAACCATCTTAGTTGAATGTTTTTGTGAGTTCTCTTTTTATTATAATATTATAATATAATGGAATGTTTAATTGTTTTAAAGAATTTATATTTGTATTTATGATAATAGTAAAAATATTAAATTGATTACCGACTTCATGTTTAGATTTAATTTGGGAATTTAAATATCATTTAAGGAATAAAGAATAATGTTTGGTAATCTATTCCAAATTAGTATTTTTTATCCTAAATTGAGTAAGATATATTTCTTCAAAATGATTGTTGCATTAGTCGCATCCATTTAGTCCAGATCTAATTATCTAATTATTAAAAATTATCTAATTATTAAAATGCGAATACTACAAATATATGAAGCTGGTAAAAGCATAATATGCATTTTTAAGGCTTTGTGAGGAGTATCTTAAAAATGTTGCATTGTATGTCTGTCTGTATCAGTTATATAAATAAAGTCAGCCTCTTTGATCCAAGCTAGAAAAGATTCTTTTCGTATTTCTTACAGAAATTCCGTGTACCTTTGCATGCCAGAGAGTTTCTCAGGATGCAGATCTCTCTCTCTCTCTCTCTCTCTCTCTCTCTCTCTCTCTCTCTCTCTCTCTCTCTCTCTCTCTCTCTCTCTCTCTCTCTCTCTCTCTCTCTCTCTCTCTCTCTCTCTCTCTCTCTCTCTCGATCTTCATCTTGAAACATGACTAAGTCCTTCTCATGGCAGGAAAGGAGAAGATTATGATACAATTCTTATCATAATAAGTGGTGCACGAATAACACGAATAAAGATGTAACTCCACGAAATTATGACATTCAGAACAGACTTGTATCGAAACCAATATTTTCAATTTAGCCTTCGATGCGGATTTCTATTTAGACAAAAACGCAGTACTCCTGATTTTTTAACTTGATATGACCATTCAGGCGGTTAACCGGAAATCGCGGAACTATGAAGGGTGAGTGCCTGGAAGGGGGGTGGATGCTCCAAATTAAGTTTGCTACATTTATTGCAACATAAAGCATTCCTGCTTATTTTTTTATATCTTTCCATAAAATATTAAAATTTGTTATATCGATCATTTTGTACAGACCTTATTCAAATCCATTTTAAAATATTTTATTTTCGCATGTTCATAACATTGTGCATAGACTCACGTCGGTCTTCATTCGCCAGTCGTTTCCATTTTTTTCACTGCAGACCTGTTGTTGGAACCATCATAGAACTGAGCACAGCATTTGTTGAGTTATATTTGGTCCTTACAAACAGTGCCTGACAGTATTGGTCATTATGTCAAAATTTTGGGAGGTCACCAGTTTAGATCCGTGAACTCGTCCTGTGGCATTAAGTTTTCATCAACATGGCGATTTATTGTCACAGGTTGTTTCCGATTATAAATGTAGAGAACTAGAATCTGCAACACCTCATTTTAAAATATCATCTTAAATATATTTTTCGCGATTTATGTTAATCTTCCGTAATGTTCTTGTCTTCTTCACCCCGAGTTTCAGCTGGACAAAGTTGACAGTCGTCTCATCACCGTTGACTCAAATTGTTAATCGTTGTTTGGCCAGGAACCGTAAATTATAGCTGTTCTCTCTTTAGCAGGCACATATGATTAAACTCTTTGTCTCCTTGGACAGTGTGTGTTTGTGTGTGTGTGTGAGTGTGTGTGTGTGTGTGTGTGTGTGTAATTTGGATATTTAGCGTAGCTTTAAAATATTCAGTCATATCGCTACGATGTCTGCAGTGTAAAACTTTTATAGTGATGTCTAGCACTTGGGCATCATGCTGCAGGCATGTAAAATCATTTCCCACCTACTCACATCATCCTGGCAACAGTCCTAACACCAACATCTTAATGCTGAGCGTCAATCTAGGCAGTTGTTAATACTATTTTTATAAGTCTTTGGTATGACTCGGCCGGGGTTCGTACCCACGATCGTCCGCATCTGAGGCGGACGCCCTAACCACTAGGCCACCAGAGCGATGCGTATCTGGGACAGAGTTACTCTTATATCTCTTGTTTATGTTGGCATTGCAATGCTTTTTGTAAGTTGGAATATAAATTATTTTGTTTTATGTGAACGGCTTCATATTTCCACGCGATCAATTCCATTCTTTTAAATACTTAAATAATATTCTAGTTGCAAAGTTATTATTTATGGAACCGCTCCGGAGCCCTAGTGGTTGGAGCGTCCGCTCCTTGGATGCGGGAGGTTGTGGGTTCGATCTCCGGTCAAGTCATACCAAAGACTTTTAAAAAAAGGTACAAATAGCTGCCTTGCTTGACGCTCAGCATTAATAGGTTAGTGTTAGGACTAGTCGGCCTAGTGTCAGGATAATGTGACTGGGTGGGGGACATCATGTTACATGAGAGTGATAAGCGATATTTTACCAAAACAATTTTTGCTCAGTAATGAAGAAGATATTTTACTATTAAATTTATGTTCCAATAAGTACGAGAGGGAATGAGAGGAAGGAATTCAAAATTTCAAAATGTATAAAGAGTATAGATACAATTCTTTGTACAAAATAATACATTTTCACGATATTTATTTTCACTTTCTCAACCTGAGATCGCTAAATCGCTAAAATTTCTAAAAATAGCACTTCGTTTATCCACTTTATGGTTATAATTTCATCCTTTATCCGTTAGATATATGTTTCATAAAAAAATAATTAATTTTCTTGGCTGTGACATAGAAAATAAAAAATGATACCAGTGATAAAATGATAAAGACTACAACCAAATATACACAATGAAAACAAATTTGACTTAGTTGTAGAACTCAACACGATAAATGTGGAAATATTATAATAAATATTAGTTTAAATCAAGAAACACAATCTCCAATAAATAACCATTTTATTCATCTGCTATCTGATGTACGTAAATTATTCCGTTTTCTTTTCATTGTATGGCATACATAAGAAATAGTCACGAAACATTGAGCAATCTTAGGTGGGTGCTGTAGAAGAAATATGACAGAATGATCTAATCGGCTTCAAGGCGTTGCATAATTAAACAACATATTCTTTTTGTTAATGTTTCTGTGTTTATTTGTAAGAATTTTGGTTTGTGTTGTATATTTTCACACGTACACAAATTTGTGTGTTGACAAGATTGTTGTCTATTTGGTGATATATCTAAATTTCGATTGTCACTTAAATTATGCTTTCAATCGACACGAATTAATGCCTAATTTGATTTCTTTGTCGTTTTCAGGTATAATTATGGTTTTGATAACAGTCAAAATCACCACATAAACAGTGTAAGTATGCTTAATCAAGCGTTTTTCTTAAAAATGTGTACCATTTGTCGTCGAGCGTTCTTCTACGATGTTGTATGAGTGACATACCGTGTACGATATTGTATGGAACGTCAAATAGCAACAGGTCATGTAAGTTCGGTCAGTGACAATTTGCGTGATTCGTGTGGAAAACTAATTATAGAACAGGTTAATACTTGAGGTCTGGTCTCTGTTGTTTGGGGTTCACCTTCAGGCATTTTTGACGTCATCTTATTGATTACATTAAATTATACTAGAAGGTCCACAGTTTTTGACACTTTTTAAGATCTATATACGCCCTGATGGAAAGGGCGTTGGGTGGTGAACATGAGATACACTTAAAATGAAAATACAGGTGTGAATAATATACATAAGGGCAGATATACTTCCTTAATGGAAAGATAAACTAGTTCCAAAAATTATATCGCCATATTGGCGACATCGTTTTTTTTTTTCTCTGTTATCAGTTATATTTGTCAGTATCTTCTTATGATGTATATAATAAAATTTTTCTGAATCTGCTTTCATTTACATAGTGAATAAGCTGTCAGTAGATTAATTAGAGGCAATTATAGGCCAGACCCGGATTCGCCTTTGCCAATCCTTGTCAACTCATCTCAGTCTGTGGGTTTGAGACCGAGGCTCAACCAGTGTGGGTATGTGGGAAAGCTGGCCAGTAGCTTCACATGGGTAGGTGGTCCTTTCCGGGCTTTTCCCGGATTCTCCCTTCATCATTAGTACTGGACGGCATTTATAACCTATTTTGCAGTGACAAATATTGTTAAACCCAAATTAATAACAACGACCACCGCACCCTGAATATATTCTATATGTATGTTCACCTATTTGTAGACTGGGTTACATATGTTCCTTATTATAATTAGTACCGTGAGTCCTGCAGATATCTCCCTGGCAAGCGTTGATGCCAGGTCTTTACGACTGTTACTAATGTACAGAAATAAATACTGACCTCAGTCTGAATCGTGTCATTTCGAAATCTTTCATTTGTTCAGTTTTATTCTTGTACTTCGTTATCATGTTTTAAGGTAGACCCTCAATCGTTCACACTGTTACATTACGAGTAATTTCAAAATTAATAATTGTTTTCAACTATATGTTCAGTATGTTTTATTCATTTTCTGTTGTTTCATTAAGCGTTTGTTTTTTTTAACGTTCTTTAAAATTTTAGTGACTGTGATGGTGGTGGTGGGGATTTGAACATTAAAACCCTCCTCTTTTCTCCGGCGTCGTTAATTAGGAATGATCTGAGGTGTAATTTGCCCAGTGTGGACGGATATATGGAACGGTTCAGACAGTTGAGCAAAATATTGAAAGAAATAAAATCAACGAGCCCCTTTTTAATGCATAAAAATTATAAAATTTTAATCAGTTAACTTATAATTAAAAGAAAAATCAATTACCATACAACCTTTTTACTAAATTACATATACTCAATTAGCATAGCCAAAATTCACCTTCCATTTGACTGATTATCAATGACAGAAGTTAATTACAGTGTAAGACTTTCATCACATTTTATGAGTGTTGACTTTGAGAACAATTTCAAACATGGTGACAGTATCACCTGTCAATGGTCGTCTCACGACTTGTTACTCACGTCGAACCACGTGATTTGTCCTATTCCAATCATCGCTATTCTGACATCCCGTAGATGTAGAATTTCCCTTTAACTCACTGGGTTCCTTCCGTGTTGCTCCTTCTCTTTCTCTCGTTCGGAGTGCGAATTACAAATTACGAAGCTGTCCTCTTAAATATAAAGTATGTCTCACGCTAGACAAATACCATTACACATCTACATATAAATATAAACTATATTTCTAGTGCTAAGATTTAGGTGATTTACACTGCACAAGTCTGACCTAACGTGACCTTAATCACTAACTACTCACAGATTCTATGTTTGCGGTAAGAATACCGTTACATTAATACAGATAACTTTTGCTCAAGTTCATTCCAATCAGCGGTCAAGTTCTAAATTCCCACGTGCTTTCTACAGTGTGGCCGTATATGACAGCATACATTATAACCCGACTTATTTACATTTGGCTGTTCAATGCAGTTTAATGCTCAATTATATATGGCATAATATTCACTAAATCTAAATATCTGAAAGTAACTTGCGTGAGCAATTAAGTATTGCGAACTCATATAAATATACACTTGTCATTAACTCGCAAGAGTAAATATCATCCTACACAGAGATTCAGTTCATATATTCTAAGCAATCTGACACATTCGTATACTAGTTTGAAATCATGAAATCCCTATGCAATTCTACATATCGAATATTTAATTGCATGCCACCCGTCAATTCTCTCAATGAATTAATAATTGAAAATTCAGAGAATTAGATGTTATAAAACTAACATATCAATAGTCCTACGAAGTGAAGAAGATACATGCGTGAATCATAGTATATCATATTTGCAAACAATCAAACAAAAGAAATAGCATATTAAAAATTGAAACTAAAATTGCGTACCTTACTGTCGTTTTTCTCTTTCCAAACGCATAAAAGTCCTATCCTAATATGTCTCCTTTTCTAAGACAACTATCTGGCCGTTAGTTTTGTAATTTCTCGAAGAACACTACTCACTAGTTTTTACAGAGTCGACTTAGTCTTCTCTCAAGAAAAATCTGACTAAAGGATTTTTTCAAGAGATAATTTTTATATTGTTTCTCAAAGTGTACGCCTTTAAGTTTCCCTGAACAATCAGAAATAACTGTTCATAAATTTCCCCTACAAATAACGTGGTTGTCATCGGTTTCACCAGTCTAAACCATGCTGCAATTAGCTTTCTTTGAAAAATCGATTATTTGACGCGCGTTCCTTTTGACCTGATACAAATCTGAGTATGATTATACGTACGCCATGTACCATTAAAAATGACCGAGTTAGATTCTACTGAAGCTTAACGTAGTTCCTTTTATGTTTAGAGATAAAATAAAGAAGTAATCATTGAACTTTCTCCAGACCTTTCTGCTTCGATTAAGTTAACTTGAAAGCACAATTCATTTAACTTTAAGTTTCAACAAATTTCAAAATTCGACAAATTACAGTGGCCATGACATCACATGCTCTTTTATTTGTTTAATTCATGCTTATCAACATATGAATTGTACAATACACCAGCTGCATAAAAATGGATCGCATACTGTCACCGAATATAACAAACGTGTACAACCGATATACATATGGACTGGAGATCATTTTCAAGCTTTTTATTCAGTAATTATCCGACTTTGCGATCTATATTATTAACGATATTAACGTAATTTAGAAAACCTGGTTCTTTGCGTTTCTAGACACCACACACAGCTGATTCTTTGAATCGACAGCAGTACATTCACCATGTGGTGTTTCCGTCATACGTGAATTGTCTGTCCTCTGTCTTGACCAGAAAATCTGCTTCAGATGTTTGTCGTTATAGTTTGTGAGGCAATCCAGGAACAAAATGAGTGGTAAAATGTGACAAACTTTAGATGAATCAGTGTTCTAAGTGCGAGCTGTCCTTTTACCTATATGAAATCCATATCATATCGGAAGACATCAAAATGCTGTATTGATACTAGCCATTTGTGTCCATTTTTGAGAAATATTAAACTAAAAATGTGAATTGCTAATGTATTATGGTAAACAATGTTGCACAGATTGGCTAAACGTACACCGTAGTT